GTGTGATTACGGTGATTCCTGTGATTATGACTATGATTATAATCATAATCACACGTGTGATTATGATTGTAATCATACGAATACGTGTGATTACGGTGATTTCTGTGATTATGACTATGATTATAATCAAAATCACACGTGTGATTATGATTACGGTCATAATCATACTCAAGCGTATGATTACGGTCATAATCATACGCATGCGTATGATTACGGTAAAATCATAATCATAATCACGGCGAAAATTTGCCCCACACTGTTCCGTACAGCGGAATCGCTTCTTTATTTTCCGATATCGGACCAGTGTTCGAGGAGTCATCCGAGGATCAGAAAGACCACCTTTTACCTTCAAATCTATTGTGAAATTGGAGTCCTCCATTTGTGCCTGCGAGAAATACTGGTATAAGCGATGAATACCGTATTTCCTGTATTATAAGAGCACCCTCTATTAGAAGAGCACCCTCAAACAGAAGAGCACCCACGGGGCGATCGGAAAATGAAAGACCACCCTCTATTAGGAGAGCATCCTCTATCAGAAAAGCACCTTCTATATGAAGAGCACCCTCTAGTCGAGGAGCACCCCCAGGTGAGTAGCCATAATCCCGCGACCTGATGCAGGCAAGACAATCGGAAAAATCCGCGTCTTCCATCCCACGGATGCCCTCTCGAGAAGTATTCTCTTCGAAGTCCGAATGGAGAATGGCCATATTATAGACAGGAACCCTCCATTAAAAGAGCAACTTCTGATAGACGGGTGAGCTGATGAGGGATTGAAAAATAGAGGAGCACCCTCTATTAGAAGGGCACCCTCTAAGAGACGAAGGAGCTGTAAAGGGATTAAAAAATAGAATAGCATGCTCTCATAATACGGGAAATACGGAAACTCACCGGTATTTTGCTCCGCATGCTTTATAGGCCGTACAAGAAAATCGCATCGCTCTTCGTTAGTTCTTGATTAATTTATAAGGTAAGTTCTGGCTGTCGCTGAAAGGTAAGGGAGAAGTTGAATATCATCGACCGTCGTTGAATCTCCGGAGAACAGCCCAAAAATGGCTTCAAGAACAACTAGAAGGTAGTACACTCCGAAATAGGATCATTGAGAAGCGCATCTGTGGAAACGAGAACAAGAGTCGCAAATAAACGCGAAATCATTATGAATAGCCTCCAATGCTACTTTGTGAATAGTAATCACCTTTATTAATCTTATAGTCCTACCGAACGGAGGGTAGAACGTATTGAAAGGGGAGCGTCATCATCTCCCCGTCATTCTTCCCGAACTAGGGCCACCGCGAGCCTTCGAATTTTCAACCCCTCAGAATTTTCTATACACTTCACCAGGAACCTCAGCCCTCTTCAATCGTGATCGTGAGATATTGAGTGCTCGTTCTCATTCAAGACGGGGAGCGGGTTCGATTCCACAATTAGCCTTGTCTACCGTGAAGTTGGGATATTTAAGAGGATGAAGTGTTATACAAGGAGTAGACGATATTTGCCTCTGTAGACGAGTTACTCTTCTAGCAGATTTCAGTAAGGCGATCGATCGAGGATTGAATGCACGGCTGAGGAGCTATCCGGATTCGGCAGTCGAGAGCTTTGTTTCGCGGTCTGAGCGATGACTTTAGGGCTTCCTTGCTCTCGTCTTATTGTCAGCCGACTCGAGATCGAATATTAGCGGAATGCCAAACGAAGATTTGTTCCAAACGACGATCTTACTTGGTCGACCAAAAGAGCGGTACACGGGCATGTAGACACTGTCATTCAGGAACGCTCAAGATTTCCCTTATCTGTGTCGCGTGACCCAAATCCCGAAGAGGAGAACCCCCTTTATAAGCGAATGACGGCGTACATGATTGATGACAGAGACTCTCTGGCATTTCCGTCGACGACGTCACCGGTCATCAATGCTACAACGTTGATCGAACGTTTGCGGCGCGTGTTTTCGCTCTCGCCGATTTCGCGGTCTGTGACCACTTGCTTGTAGCAGGGGGCAATCTCCGCGGGGCGATGTCGAGAGATCGAGGTAGTCAAAGAGGAATAAGACGAAGGATAACTGTATTTCAAGCAGACCACCAAGTAAGAGACCGGAACACAGAACGAAATCCTCGTGAAAGTGTTGGGAAGCGGTGGCTCGGAAGTGCATGGGCGCATCGAAGAGTTGAGCCGGATTCGAAGAAAGAAAAAAGTTATTTCTCATCTTTATGTCCCTTCCGTGCGCAAATTTTTGAAGCCTGGTTGTTCGGGACATCGCGAAAAAAAAACTGCAGAATCAGACGCGAATTTCGCCGCTAGAACAACTCCGACGTCTCTCCTAATCACGGAATGATACGCAATAGATACATTGGAGTTTACGCTGCCGCACCCTGTGCAGTCATCCCTCGTTTATCGCGATTAATCGGTTCCGGCCACTGACGCCGGAGATATCATGACCATGAGTCCGAGAGGCCAGTAGGGGTCGGAGGAAAATGTCGTCTTCGATATCAGTCCAGCAGTCTAGCGACTGGAGGCGGGCAATCACTGCCGTCGAGCTGAGATTAGGGAGTTGTCCGATCTCTGAGGAGACATGAGAGGTCCTGCTGCGCCCTAATTTACTATTAGATCCCATTCTATTTTAAGGATCCCGAATTCCGGAAAACATATCAGAATATAAGCAGTGAAACCTCGGTTCGCGAACTTGATCCGTCCCGCAGAGCCGATCGGTGAGCGTCGAGGTCGTCATTCGTGTTTTTCGACTGAGTAGAGTCCTCCAATCGGATGTGGGGTATCATTGAATGAACTCGGAGGCTCGAATCCCGCCTGAAGAGAGTGAAGTGCTCCCGGAGGAGAGACAAGTTTGTTCGTCAACAGAAATAAGGTGCGTCACCAAGTTTTCCGCGAAAAATCGTCGTCCGAAGCAATCGTTCCGAGGAGAAAGTTCGTTGAACGAGATGTCAGTGTACTGGCATTCCACTTTTCTCTGGATGGATATCCCGGCCCGGAGCAGCGAGCACTCAGAAAATGACATTTTTGATGATCGAAGTTCCCCAATGCAGATTGAGTGCGTTCCGGAGACGATTCCGAGCGAGCTGTAGGCCATAGACGTGCTTTCAATTTTCTATAAGACTCGACAGTGACGGCCACAAGCGGGCGAAAGTTGTCCTTTGGTCAGTCTGACTCGTAAGGGCCCAGCTTCCCGTGAGTCATTGTAGATCGAGCCCAGTCCTCTTCTCGAGTTTGAATCCGGAGTTTCTTGTTTTCTCCGTCGCAGAGCCAAAGCTTCAGAAGAAGAGAAAGAATTCCGCACCGCCGGATTGAAGATTATAGCATGGGTGGAGTATAGGCGATTGCGTCATCAGGAAGTTTTCGAAAAGCGCGGGCTATCACTCGCTCTCTCCGAACCCTTCCCTCTCTGTCTAATTCGTTCATTCGCAACTTGAATTATGGGGCTCTGCTGGCGAGAGCAACCAGTGTGATTGTGGATATCCTGAGTTGTCTCGAAAAAATAGTGAATTGAAGTGCTACTCGAGTCGGATACCGTGTAGAGAACCGAAGACGCCAACTGTCCGTTTCCGAATTTATCAGTAGTCCTGAACGTGAATTCCTGATCCTCATACCGCATAATGTCTGTACCGCAAGAAATTCTCGATGATTTAGGAAGTCGATTTTTGATCCATCTTCCTCCGGAGGAGAAAAAGGACCCTACTCGCCTGTGCTTCCAGGTAGGTTCTTGGGGTTGGTCGGAGGACAGTGGGGTTCGCTATACAATTTTTCCCCGGAAATCTCTTTCGGGCGTTCGGGACATCCTTGACGATTCCATCACCTCTGGCTGTGTTTTCCTCGCAGGTCGAGCTCGCCTATTGGTTCTACCTGGACTATTACGCAGGAGAAGGGAGCTTGCTACCATCTCTATCTATGAGTCAGTTCACTTTTGAGCTTTTCTCGCACATACCCGGCATGGCGAAATTCGCGAAGCGGACGGACGAAATAATTGCGACGTGGAAACAGTTCAAGTTTGCCGTTCCAACGTTCGGTTGCATTATGGTAAGTCGCTGAAAGCGCCATGTCGAATGACGCTCCGACGATTTATCTATAGGAGCCTCCTGAAGCTCTTTCCAATAACAATGTACTCAGAAGCCGGATCATTTCAGATTGACGATGCCTATGAGAAGGTGCTGCTCGTCCAGGGATATTGGAGCAAGAGTACCTGGGGTTTCCCGAAAGGCAAAATCAATGAAGGCGAAGAGCCCCATCATTGTGCCATGCGCGAAGTTCAAGAAGAAACAGGCTTCGATTGCTCGCATCTCCTCAAAAAAAATGTCTACCTCGATCGACGAGTCGGTGATCATGACCAGCGTCTGTACATTGTGCCAGGAGTATCTCGCGAAACGATTTTCTTACCACGAACCAAGAAAGAAATCCGCTCAATCCGCTGGTTCAACGTGTGCGATCTTCCGGCTTTCAAGAAAGATCCGACTCCGGCTGAAAGGCTCGGAATGAATTCTAATCATTTTTCATGATCATGCCGTTTGTGAAACCTCTCCGAAAGTGGATCAACTCGAGACGACAATCTCTCGGATTGAGCCTATTACCGGCGCTCCCACAATCCAAAGCATCCGTCAGCAGCGTGTCGACCAAAGGCCCAGGGAGTTCCTCGAACATATCTTTGAATGAATCACTTCTCCAAACACTACTATTGGAGGAATTGACTGATCTTAAAGCAGCGAAGGAACCACAGCAGAAAAAGAAGGCTAGAGGAGACAACGCCGCGAGAAAATCTCTAACTAAAATGTTCGAAGACGCCGCCCAGAAGCACGAGACGCAACAGAAGACCGCGCAACAACCTAAGCAGCTCAAACAAGTGAAATCCGCGCACGCTACACCAAATAAGGATCAGGAAGAGAACGTACAACTTAAAATCATCAAACCTCGATCGGAGAAGAAATCGAGCCCGTCGATTCCGCTGAAAAACAGAGCCGCTGTTCCAACATTTTACGAGGTTCCTGAATTCGAAATACAGGCGTGGCAGGACTTCAAACTCAACTACGCGGATTATACTTCACTTGTGCATTGAATCCGAGGAGCTTCATGAGTTCCCATCAGCCACGTTAGTTGGATGCACGTTACCTTCTCATCTCTCAATTAAAGTGCCTGAGTTCCCGGCACAAAGCATCATTCTGAGAGCCAATTTTCATTAACTCGTTCTAGCGGTGTGTAGACATCGCGCGCTTCACTGCTCGAAGTGAAAAAGGGACTTTTTTTGTACAGGGTTGAAGTTTTTCTGTACACTTGTGATTTGTAGATTACGCGCCGAAGCAGCTGGAAGTGTCCAGAAGACGGTCATGCAATGTACAGAAACTGACTTGGTGTACATCGTCTCTGCTTATTTTCATCAAAGGGACATGATTCTGTACTGTAATGGTAAAGATATCGAAAATGGCATATATAAACGGGAAGGAATTGTACTTTAAGTCCTCGATCGCTCTCTTTACTCGGCAATTCTTCATTGAATGACTCCGTCAGATAATTTCTCTGATTGGCCTCAGCATGCTCGGATGAAAAACCTCCCTCGCCAGAGAATTCAAAATGAACTGATCTCAGAGCTAAGACGATACAACTGGTCTTGCATGTTTAGGGAAGCGAAGAGACAGGAGCGAACAAGTGGAGAAAGACGGCTGGGATGAGCGCGGAATGAATCCGCGGGATTGGTAGAGAAGCCCGGATTTTCGAGAGCTGCGAACAATACGACGAACTCTAGGGTGCGAATGACACTAAAAGTGGTACGGAATGATGTGATCAGAAATCCCCGTTTCTTTCCAGACTTTGGAGAGTCCACCGTCCTATACCAGGGACAGTGACGGTGATACGGAACAAGGTGATTAATTTCTGCCATTTTCCCTCAGTATGGAGAGTCTATCGTCCAACACATGGGAGGAGCAGAACACAAATGATTTCCCCCACAGTGTCGATTCCGTCCCGTGACAAGTGAGAGCGCAGTCAGCAGCAGGGTCTGATGGGGATCATGCGCGAAACATGCATACTCTTTCCCTTTCAGCAGTATCCATCGAGGCAGCCGATCGGATAGAAAACCGGCGATGATTGAACAGCGACGGACCATTGCGGCGAGTCTTATGTTTACTGGTGCTCAATCGCTCAGGGGCGAGAACCCTGTCGTCCTGAGTGCGCTTGCGCGAGACCGTCCTCCTCTCCCTGGCATGTGGGCGCTCCGACTCCACCGGCTGAAAGTAAACGTATCTCATTGCTTGCAAAAAATCAGGGCTCTCGCACTGATCCGATCACGACTGAATCATGGGCCTTATTAGCACTCTATTAGCGGCAGCTTGCATAATTTTCGATGTCACGTACTTTGCAAAAATGTTCTGGCTCTACTATCCTTATTTCATAGGAATCAAGAAGCAGATCCACGGTGTGCACGAAGAAGGAGTATCTTTGGGTGAGTGATCGACTCTTGATTTCTCGACAGTGTATATCGAAATCGAGCGGACTTCGATGATTGCTCTACATATCGTCCGGGAAAAAGGCGTTGCAAGGTCCGATCGCAATTAGCTAGTCGTTGTCATTGAAGATTTCCCTCCGAACCCCGGAAACCTCTTGGGCAGTGCGGCGAAAATCTCGTGCATCGAATCTAACACCCAGGAGTGGATGCGCCGTCTACAAGAGACGTCGACGGCGACCGATCGATACTTCGGAAGCTTGGGGCTTCCATTGTTCTTCTCGGATTTGCTATGCATGAAAGAATAGTGTAAAATCATTGAGCTCATCGATCGTCACGCAGCTCGACCAGTTTCGCATGACCAGTCGAGGAGGGACCGGGACTTTCGGAACGGATAAGGGCACTGGCCAGGACATGAGAGGATCAGATCCCATTCAGGATCGCGAAAAAGTGAATGTTGGAATTCAGACATCAAGAATATTTTCTGTTAGCGACCAGCCTCTAGTCGAGAGGATCCTTCAATCCACCCGATCCGACAGCGCGCTGGCACATGTGCAGCTGTCGACTAGGCATGTGAACGATCGCTTTGTGATTGCAATATATGGCGAAGCTTAGTTCTTCAGGAGCGCGACCAGAGAGATTCGTGCTTGTATCGATCTAGCCGATCTTTCGCCCGAATTTGATCCACTCGGAGCAGAAACGTAGCAGTGCGCTGTGAACCTGACTCGACCTCGGGGTACATACCATGACGGGCGGGGGGCCTGTACGCGAAGAACTTACAGTGCTGCCGGAGCTCGGGATCCTGATCTATGACATTCCCCGCGACAATTCATCAAGATGTGTCTCTTCCACAGGGATATGCTTGCCGATAGATTTGGACTACATGTGTCACATGAATCATGCAAAATATTTGCGTAACTTCGAGTACGCTCGAGGTTCGTTCGCAGGAGCGTCAGGACTCCTTCAGTCAATATTCTTCACTGAAAAAAAAGATCGGTGGTGCGTCATCGCCGCCGTTGCGGTTCGCTATAGGAGACAAGTAACTTGTTTTGAAAGATACAGGATAACGACAAGGGTGAGTACGAGCTTTGCCGCGGATCATATTTCATCTCTACTCCTTCTCATAAAGCCCTTCTACGCGCGACTCTGCTTCCATGCCCTATATTCACGAACCACCTCCTGACGCTATCTCATCAAAATCTAATAGAAATCGATTTCAACGTTATCCGCAGCTAGTGTATATCGAAGGTCGGGACTTCTTCTTCGAGCAGAAGATGATCGGCGTCAGCGATAGTTTTGTGAAAGCAGTCTGTCTCGCCAAGGTAAGCTTCTCGTCTGTTTGGTCCACGGGAATTCTGATCGTGTGCTCACCCCACGGAGAGGTCACGTCGATTACCGCTTTTTTCCTCGCAGGCGACTCTGACACCCAATGGTGACTGTCGGGAGATGCTCCTCAGCAACGGTGTCGATCCGACCCCGTTCTGCGGACCTATCGAGGACGATCTGAGGCACTTCATCGAGCTGAACCGAGCTTCCAGCGCCAAGCTCAACCCTTCGAAAGAATCGACTCAGAATCTCGCTGCTGCAGATGAGACCTTGATGCACTGAGCGCTTTTCTATCAAAATATTTTTTCTGCAATCAGCGCTGTCCTGACTGATTGATTGATCGATATATTGTTAGGGTGATCGATCGCACAATCGTTCATGGAACGAAGAGGGAATGAACTTGGTGATTTCCTCCTCCCTCCTCCCATGTTTCCGTCATTGCTCCCTTTGACATCTGCCGGGTTGGTCTCGGATCCATGCTCAACATCAATGTCCGAGTAAGTCTCAGATGTCCCCGAATCTGCTTCTTAACGCACTACGAGCTTCTGAATCTTGATGTCCCCGAATCTGCTTCTTAACGCACTACGAGCTTCTGAATCTTGATGTCAGAATCCGCTACTTGTTCACGGACTTGTTCAAAGTTTTACCCTGATAAACAGCCTGTTAGCTGGTCTGTGTGTATGCGCGTTCGGAATTGTACTGACGAGCAGCTCACTGTGGGAGGTTTTGAGAGGCTCTCCCTGAGGGAGGTTGTAAGAGGATTCTCTGAGTTTTCGAGCCATTCGAGCTGTTCTTCAGTGTAACTTCTCGATGCTCAACGCACACTCAGGGAAAATATCGACGATATTATGATTGAATAAAGCGCTTGTTATCCGATTTTATTGAGTTGCTCGGCGATCCACGAAACTGACAAGGTGCGAGTAGGTTTTGGTCAGTATTGGCTCCCGAGGGGAACTTCTTTCCATTCCACGTATGCAACAGCAATTCCCTGAAAAAACGAGGAAGGGTTGTCCAGTCTAGGATTGAGTCTGCGACCCTCCATGAGAGCTGAGATACCGCGCTCGGAGAAAGCAGCCTCAAATCTTCGCATCTGAGCCGAAATAGCCGCAATCCGTTACGTTCAGCTGTGATCGAAAGAAATTCCTCATCAGATAGAGGATTTCTGAGAGTTCGTCGACTTTTTCGGTACCGTTGTAGATATCTATATATCTGCCCGGTCTGTATTTCCATTCTGTGGTAATACCCTCGCTAACGCGGAGCGCCACTCGGTAGCCGCTCCGATTCTTCCAGAGTTCAAGAGCCACAGCCGCCAGTGGGTCGGTCGCCAAATCGTTGTGGCCTAGAGCCCGGAGCACCGAGAGAAGGTTCAAGTCATGGAATGAAAACAGGGAGAGCTTGATTCGAGATATCCCATTCGCGGCTTTCTCGAGCTCATTTGAGATGCCTTCCATCAGATAGTGTGCGTAGTAGGGAGCCATAACGTTGATGCTGTTATTGAGCAGATAGAGCCTGGCGAATTCCCTCGTCTTGGGGTAATTGAACATCCAATGGTCTCGCCGCGTGAAATTATATTCGTAGTCGAGCGATAGGAAACCTTCCATGTAGGCCATGTAGAAGAAGTTCACGCTCTCGTTCTGGAGCTGAGTCTGGAAAATTATGCGATCTCTCAATTGGAAGCGACCGGACCGAGGACGTTCCCCTCGGATTAGTCGAGGGGTGGCTCATGAATTCTTATTTGGAGACGAGAATCGACGGTGCCCCTCATCCAAAGAGCCGACGGGGATTTGCAACGGCGAAAAGCGCAAAATATTTACCCGCGTTCGGAGAAAATTCACGTAATCTCCCACGGTCCGGAAGCCCTCTTCGGCGTAAATAGCGTCTGCGACTGGGAACTCGGGGTCGTAGTCCCGAGTGATGTAGCGCATGTTCCCGCAATTCTCGACATATTTGTCATGACCTCGGGGTGGCATTCGAATCGCTACCTGGCTGAGCGGCAGATCATCTGGCGAAGGATACCATGTGTCCAGGACCATGGCGAGAGTTTCGTGGCACCGATCAGCTTGAGAGCTCCTGGCGTACACCTCATTGGGATCACCTGCCAAACGTCGATGGGATCACTGTCTCGGACCCGATCCGTTGGGCTCATGGCGAGAGAATAATCTCCGGTGCTTTCGGCATTCGTCAGATTCCCAAGCCCAACCCTGATTGTGGACTCACCCGTCAGAAAATCCTTGTACCATTCTCTCCACACGAGAGTGGTGTTCCGCGTCGCTAGGAGCCCTTCTCGTGTGCTCCGCTCCACTCCACGCGGGAATAAGTCAGGTCTGAGCAGGGAATCATTCGGTGGAAACACTCGTGGCGCTCGAACTGTGTGCCGGAAGAGCAGAGCGACATGTTGCAGCTCAGGTTTTTGCACAGTCAAGCGAGCGACCGCGGCGGCAGCATCTGACTGTGGTGATGTCTGCGGCGATGACACTCGCTGATTTTCAGAATCGCCAGTGCCGAAAGCAAAGAAGAGACCGACGATCACTGTGAAGCGCATCGGTACGGGTTGGTTTCTCTCTACCAGAGAACTTTCGTACGAATCAATGATAAGAACAAAGAGAAGGAGAGCACTCACGTGCGACGATGACGACGCTTGGGAGAACTACTCTAGCGTTCATTGTGAGCAAACTGAACTCGTCTGTCGCCGCTGTATCTTGTCGTTCGGCCAGCCAGCCGGCCGGCCGGTCGCTCGGTCGCCGGCTGCAGCTGCGGCAACCCTCCCGCGATCGAAGGTAGACAGTTGACTGGATATTTGAAGGTTCGTCGCTAACGGAATCTCAGCCCGAACACTCCGCGATCTCTACGGAGGCATATCATGAACATCATACAAGACGGTACAATTTATGGCCCGCGCTAAAAGAATCAGCTCGCTGTCGATCTCATCCGATTCACCGACCGATTGTGAGTGGAGTACTCCGCGAACGCCACCGATTCCCGCAGCTCGACGCGCGGAAGAGGATAGTGCCGATAGAATCGAGGAGATTAACAAGAAGCGAGAAGCCAACCTTTCAGACAAAAATAGTTTTAGAAGCAATAGTACAAATCTCGCAACGCAGGCTTTGATCCCTTCCCGTAGATATCTAAGTATAGGGGGATGAAGTACTCCCGTGGTGAGCTGACATGCCGAAATAATGACGACCCCGTTGTTACAATCCTCCTGAGCGAAACCGCTTGACCAGAGCCTTGACCTCTGACCGAATCCTGCTCAGCCGAGAATCGTCGATGTAGACAAGCGGAAGTGTTGGAATCTCTCTGTACTTACTATGGAACATGTGTGCCAGTATCGAAAAATGGAGGATGCGAACTAGCTTGCTAACTCGACCGTCGCTGAACGAAGCTCGGTCGATGAGCGTCGGCGTCGCGAGATATTAACCGCACCGTTTGACTTCTCATGCGACCCGGAGGATATACTGTATAGCCTCGTCCTGGTCCTGGTTCAAGGGCTGGAAATCCGTCGCGGTATTTCGGTCCGCGACGGAATCCGTGACTTTTGCGCAGTGGAAAAATCGAAGGTTTGGGACTTGGAAAATATCGCCACGGAATAAATATCTCCCGAAATTCACAACATGATTTGTTCACGGCCGCGACATGGTCACGCTGCGTTCGGCGTCGGCTCCGAAGCGTCGGCGTTGTCGCGATCGTCATTCGCACCGGGAGCTCGGCGACGTGTTCACGCCGCTCTGATATCGTGATCACCGCTCCGCAGCGGGATTGAACTCTTCTTGAACAGTTGTCATCATGGCTCCGAGAGGAGCGACTTTGAATCAAAAAGAGCCTGATCTGGTATGACCCAGAGTCTGACGGGTAACCTGATGATGACCAGATACGCGGTTGACTCTGGAGGGATCGCTTTCAGTATCGGGAGAGAGTGTTCCGCTGTCTCGGACGAGCTTACCTCGCGGAGAAGCACATGTATAGAGCTCGGCGGACCGAAGATTCGACAGTTCCCGCATGGAGCTCTATGGAAGGGAGGGGGGCTCCATGGAGGGATTGCGGAGGCTTATGACTTCCCTGTCCTAGGAATCCGTGTCCTCTGGATCCATATTCGATCTTCACTGCGTGGATTTTCAGGGATTCAATAACACGTTGTCGCTTGAAGTTTCTGATTTCATTCGATATTTCGATATCCTCCTGCGTGGGTTGCGTCTTCATGAAGATATCCTCAATTCCTTTTGCTTGAGGCATGACGAGTCACCATTGATCTTCCTTCATTGGAACTCCCTTCGACTCCCAGGCTTTCCATCTCCTAGTACGCCCTTCAATTTTTCGAGTTCGGATTTTCGAGACTCCTGTTTTAATCCGGAATGAATAGAGTCCTGAATAGGATGTTAGCCTTGCGGCTCATCCTCAACCCTAATTAGGATAAGCTCTGCGTGTTGAGCTCTGGTCCCGGAATCAAGAAAAGAGTGACATTTCATGAAATTCGAATCCCGGCAAGGATGAGGCCACGCGTCTCCGGTCTCACCTTGGAGCCTCGTCGATCTCAGAGGAGTCTAGGGAGGAATACTCGGATTGAATTCGTTGTTAGCGTCAAAATGAGCACAGTACGTGAGATTTATTCATGTGAGAGAGTAAGTTTTCAGATCATCGAGGCTTCCGATATGCTCCGGCAGAGCCAGCATACGCGTGTCAACTTGTAGCGGGTTGATAGGTTGCCAATTGACAGATGCGGAGTGAATCAGTGATTCACCCTGGCAGAAGTTATCACAGGAACTTGAATCTCACGGAACATCGCGGAGAAAGCATGAGCAGGTCTCGGACTCTCTAATCTGCTTCGCCGTCGACTTCGCGCATACATTCATGCGTTTCGTCGAATGCAGCTTTTTGTTTGTCGTTGAGCGGTGCGACGAATTTGTCCATCTCAACCTGTGAATGCGTCGCAATCATGATAAGTACGGTAAGCTTCGGCGCATCAAAAGGATTCACAGGCAAGTTGAGCCAGCAAAATATCGGAGGCGAAACCGCTTCGCTTCATCAGGTCTGAGCTCTGCGGGAACGCTCCGAATCGTTGCAGCCCTGATCGAGCAGTGCATAGGGCTAAAGTAGTTCACCTATTCGATTTGTTCGAGGAATCTATCGCAAACAAAATCCGAACTCACTTTCATACAATCCCTGAATTTCTGCTTCTCGACCTTATTGTTGATAATATCCCCCAAGCCCATCTTGCATTTCAACGACATCGGCAGTATAGACTGCATATATTTCTCCATGACTTGGTCGCCAGCGTGCTGATTGATGTGCTCCAGACAGGGTCTCATATTCTCGACTTTTGCCTGGCAACCGATCATCATTAATGAGTTGACGCAAATCTCACCGGCTCGAGTCGATCGCGAACATCGAAACGAATATCGGGCGGATCGAAAGAGCGCTCACTCCTCCGGGCATCGCTGTCCGGTGCCCGGAGGGATAGCTCATTAGTCATTAGGCGAGTTCCACCGAATGGCGGACCGAAGAGAGAGCGAACCTTGATTTCGGGAAGTTGGTCCGGTGGCACAATCTTTTCGACGACTTTGAGGAACACCCGAAGTATTTTGTCCACGTCTCCCGCGACCCAGATGTCCCTCTGGAGAATTGAAACTATCAATGCCAGGATGAAGAACCTCATGGTCGATGCTTCAATGAGCTCTGATACCGATATACGCTCTATATAAGCAGCCTCGGCCGCAGCAGCTTTCTGGCAGCAGCCAGAAACCTTGGCTGAATAAACTTTGAAGCGCCTCAGAGTGCTGGCCTCATGTATTTCCCCAGCTGAGAGATCGCGAGCCTCGAGGGAAGCCACTTTATTTGCACAATCACGCGTGGTGCATCTGCCCATCGGTGTTCTCGCGCGCGCGCGCTCAATCTTCTTGACAATCGTTTCCGATGAGCGGTTCGGTGCGGATTGTCAGCCAGAACTCAAGGCTCGGATAAACTTATCCCCATCGAGCAGCTCCCGAGTTTCGGAAGGGTTCAATGCGATCAGTTGAGGACGAGTCAGCCAGTCCAAGCGGTCAGGATTCCACGAAAAGCTTCGCACAGCCTCACTTCATAAGACCACGTTGTTCAGAATTCTATCGAAGATAGAATGTTGCTGCTATGCCCCGGGAAGACGCGCGGGGGCGGGGTAAGTGAAACGCATGAAACTCCTGCTCCCGGAGCCCCCTCGATCACCGTAACGATCCTTGACTGCAAATGGAAGAAGGAACACATTCGGATTCATATGGACAATATTCTGAAGGAAGCTCATTGTACCAGGGAAAACTCATTCCGGCTCGGAGGCTGCGACCGTCGTCGGCACCCAACGGGGGACTCAGAGAATTCCACGATTCCGTCATAATCGCCGCCCCGCGCACAGAGGGCTCGAAGGGCCTGAAGTACATAAATGTTTGACGCCGGGATAATCATGTATCGAACCCTCCTTGTGACGAGCCGACTGAACTGTCGACCGCTTATCCGCCATCGCTGGAGGCAAACTTCAAATAGAATGTCCTGACTGAAAATGGCTCTAACGGTCCTGACAGGCGGTCTCCATTCACTTAAGCGCTTTCTCGGCAGTGCTAGAAGCTTAAGAGTCGAGTCACGGTTTCGAGGGAATGTGTCACACGTACATACATGCATGTACGTGTATTTTCGCTCGATTGAAGCTGATTTGTTTTCGAAGTTCGAAATCTGGAGTCAAGCCCTCGAATATCCGCGACGCGACTCTCCCATTTCCCCGTAGTCCTAGTGGCGATGACCTCAAATGTATCAAATCCGCATGCTTCCACTCTATTGCCATCGGCGTGGCGAAATCCGATCGGAAGCGAATCGGCCACCGACTAGAGGGTGATGTGCTGGAAGGGAGCCAAGGTATAGATGATCTTGAATAAATAACAGATGATCATGAACCTTAAACGCATTTGATCAGCGAAGCCTGTCCCCGTGAGGTGTCAGTGTTTTCGCCAGAAGACACACGGGAATACTAGTGGTCCCTTGATCATTCCCCCACCGACCCCCCCCCCCAGAACGTTCCGAGCATATGATATAGGAAGATTACCTGAAGTTCTAGAAATCATTCCGGAAAATAGAACCAAGCTCCGATAAAATCCATGGAACGTTTCCATATGATAAGGAGCTCTAACCCGCGAAAAGCACCTTTCAGGACCTGTCAGCAGAACAAATGTACCGGTAAAATTTTCCCCGTACAGATTTATTTGATACATACCTCAGCCGGCGATAGAGCTAAGTCGGATCTTCTCCCCAACTTCTCTATGGATCCGATCGCTCTAAGCGTGAGATATATACATCAGATCCGCTGTTAGATATCAAGTTCAGTTTCTCGTCATTCGCCAGAGATAGCAGCGCCAAGATAGCGATTTGATGATTGAGATCCTTTCGACTCTGAGGCGTCAGCTTGCCCAACAACTTGGGATATACGTTCCGGAATGAAACCACACCTTGAATGAGAGAAATGTTCGGAGGAAATTAGCTTTTTCAAGTTTTTGTTCGCCGATGCATCTTCGACAGATCTGAGGGGGT